TGCTCTTCCGATCTCGTATAAGTGGCCACCCCTTTTTATCTTGTAAACTAATAGAGATAGACCTAATAAATATAATATCGAATTAAACGGCTCTGACTAAACTTTATTGTAAGCGCAGTGATCACTTAGTAATATTATCTATGTTAGAGATTGAAAAGACACACGAAAAGAACAATTTTGCTGAATCCAGATCTGAAAATAATTTTTGTTCAATAGTCAAAATTATTTTGTGCGAAAGTCAAAATGATTGCTAGAATATCAAAACGTTTTATAGCAATACTTATCAGTTTTAACATTCCAACAAATTATTTTGATAATTCAATAAAAAATTATTTTCAGATCTGTTTTTAGCAAAATTTTTAGATCTTTCAACAAAATCGTTCTTTCCGTGCATGATTAATTTTTGCACGGTAAGATGACAATTTTAATATGATAAATGTTGTAGCGCTCTTTTTAACGAATACAACGATGTATAATATAACGAAATTATTTTACAAATTATAAGAGTTATTTTGGTTTAAAATTTTGCGGGCAGTTACTACCTTTTCAATTTCGGCCCTGCGATGTGGCCAACTTCCGACTCTCGCACTAACGAGAGTACTATGATCAGATAAAAACATTACACGTCAATTGTCAACGCAAAAATCAGAAGTTGGCCACTTCACAGGGCCGAAATTGAAAAGGTAGTAGCTGCCCGCAAAATTTTAAACCAAAATAACTCTTATAATTCGTAAAATAATTTCGTTATATTATACATCGTTGTATTCGTTAAAAAGAGCGCTACAACATTTATCATATTAAAATTGTCACCTTATCACCGTGCAAAAATTAATCATGTCTTTTCAATCTCTAATAGATAATATTACTAAGTGATCACTGCGCTTACAATAAAGTTTAATCAGAGCCGTTTAATATATTTGATATTATATTTATTAAATCTATCTCTATTAGTTTACGAAATAAAAAGAGGTGGCCATTTATACGGGGACACCCACAGAAGTCATTAGATACGTTCTTGAAAGCGATCGAATAGGCAATCAGAGAGTTATGCAATATGTATGGAATCTCATTTACAGATACGAGCAAATGCGCATCAAGATCTTGGGGGACTGTTATTACTGCATAAGCGGCGCACCCGTCGAAAGGCCGGACCACGCGGTCCTCTGCGTGTATATGGGGTTGTCCATGGTGGAGGCGATTAAATACGTTCAACAAACGACACACAGCCCGGTCGACATGCGGGTGGGCATTCACACGGGCGCGGTGCTCGCCGGGGTCCTCGGGCAGAGGCAGTGGCAGTTCGACGTCTACAGCAAAGACGTCGAGCTGGCGAACAAGATGGAGAGCAGCGGAAGGGCGGGGTAAGAATGAGCCTCTCTTCTAAGACCGTTCAATCTGAGAACGCGATTAGAGACGCGCGTCTGTTACATTTGGGAACTTATCGCAACCCGCGGATTGAAAAATCCTTACCCACGGAAAGAACAATTTTGTTGAAAGACCTAAAAATTTTGCTGAAAACAGATCTGAAAATAATTTTTTATTGAATCATCAAAATAATTTGTTGAAATGTTAAAACTGATAAGTATTGCTATAAAACGTTTTGATATTCTAGCAATCATTTTGACTTTCGCACAAAATAATTTTGACTATTGAACAAAAATTATTTTCAGATCTGGATTCAGCAAAATTGTTCTTTCCGTGTAGCTTTAAGAATAAACTATGATTTTTAATTTAAATACTGTACTTCTTTAAGACATATTTGCGAGTTTTGCGACTTTAAAAATTCGAAATTTTTGCTTCTGTATTTTATTACATAATTTTTAATTATGTTAGTTTACAGAATTACCTCCTTGATGCTCGAAAGTTTTCTTCGCGTTTTGCGTAATTTGTTTTTGCTCGTTCTTCTGAATGATGTCAATCCCTCGTTTTGAGTTATTGGAAGCATTCAGCATTTCGGTAGCAGTCGAAAGTGCTTCTTCTGGTATCACCTCTTTATTTGATTGAGTCGATGAATCAGTATGATGAGATTCACGATCATAAAACGGTCCCGCATTTACAGTGACTGACGGTACATTA